ACCGCAAACGGCCACAGAAAATGGGGGGCAGCCGCATGGATCATGGACGTACGAGCGACGTCCATGACCATGCCACTGCGGCGCTCAGCAATCCCATTTTGCTGTGGAGAGGCCGGAAGCGTGAAGGTCTGGCGGATGCCTTGTGCACGACAGAAGGCTCCCAGACGGGCAGAGGAAAACTCCCCACCTCTGTCAGAGTGCAGACGCAGAACAGGAAAGTCCGAGCCGAAACTCTCTCTGAGCTGGAGACGAGCTGCGCGGATCCAGTCGATCAACACCTCAGTGACGTCACCCTTGCTGCGCAAGGGGAAGACCGTGGTGTAACGCGAGTAGTCGTCAACCACCAACAGGAAGTAACGCTCGTGACCCTAGCCACGGACGCGGGCGGGGCCCCACACGTCCATGTGAAGAGTCTGCAGCGGAGCCTCTGTCGGAGGAAACTCGGAGGAGTGAGGGGCGGCGCGCTGTCGCCCCTCGACGCAGGGGACGCAGGTAGGGGCAGGCCCCGGAGGTAGGGGAGGGAGAGACCGGGGGAGACCAGAGACAAGGACACGGGAGGCCATGCCTCGGAGACGAGGCAGGGAGGGGTGACCAAGGCGGTGGTGCCAAAGGAGAGTCTGGTGGGACAGGAGACGACACGAGCAGGGAGCAGACTCAGGACCAGACCTGGACGCTGCAGCAAACACCTGACTCGACACAGCTACCTGACTAGACTCAGCAACCGGAGGAGACTCAGTAGTCAGTGTGTACAGGCTCGACCCCGGCCGACGGGTAAACGTGGCCAAGTGTCGGCCCGTCCGCGCACACGTACAGTGGGTCACCCGCTGACTCGCAGGAGTGAACTGGTCAACCCCCCGATCCTGTAGATCAGCACCACTCACCAAGTTCGTAGAGAACGAGGGGAGGTAGAGACCTAACAGGGTGCCAGAGGGGGCTGCCGGACAGGGTAAGACAGTGGAGAAGCGAGCAAGGACAGGACCCCCAGAGGGGTCCGCCAGGGAGACCGCAACCGGCCGACTCAGCGGCGTAAGCGTGGTGCGGTCACGAAAGAAGGAGCGGGAAGCACCTGAGTCAAGAGTGAAGGTGTGTAAGGCCTGAGCCGACGTGGTACCTGAGAGAGCAGACTCACCAGCACCTGGGGCAGCAGACGCACTAGCACCTAGAGCAGCAGCCTCACCAGCACCTAGAGCAGCAGCCTCAATGCCCGGGTCAGGCGGAACACACAGGTAACAGTCACCCTCATCACTAGTAGGCAATGCATACATGGCAGTGAGGATAGCATCATAGTCAAGAGTATAGATATCTACCCGCAGCCGAAGCAGCTCCACCCAGTCGGGGAGCTCAGCCGCGTCGCCAAACTCCGTACGCCAGGCGTCGCTCAGACGGGCGAAGCAGCAGGACTCTGCGTGACCAAGCGTCCCGCAAGGCTGACCAGTCCGAGCACCAGTGCGAATGACGTACGGACAGCGAGCAGTACCCCGTGACCCGTCACGCTGAGCGTACCACTCACGAAGCTGCTGGGGCGAAAGGACCGCGCGCGGACGACGCTGAAGCTGCACCTGGCCACTACAAGCAGCTGCCGAACTACTTACTCCAGGACGACTTTCACTACGGCCACCCCGACAACCCCAACTAGCGTACCACTCACGAAGCTGTGGGGGGGTGAGGGACTCACGCGGGCGACGCTGCAGCTGCACCTGGCCACTACAAGCAGCTGTGGAACTACTCACTCCAGGACGACTCCCACTACGGCCACCCCGACAACCCCAACTAGCGTACCACTCACGAAGCTGTTGGGGGGTGAGGGACTCACGCGGGCGACGCTGGAGCTGCATCTGGCCACGCCAGGAGCAGCAGTAGCAGTAGAAAGAGCAGTAGCAGCAAGCGCAGCAGTAACAGCAGTACGGGCAGGGCAGTGCTCACCAGTGGCGAGAAGGGCAGGCGTACGACGGCGGCAACGGCGAGGCCGCTACCACTGTAGGGCGAGAGCTCCGCGGCAGCTGCAGGGGTGGCTGCTCCAGGGGCTGCAGTTGTAGGGGCGGCTGCTCCAGGGGCGGGTGCTCCAGGGGCGGGTGCTGCAGGGGCGGGTGCTCCAGGGGCGGCTGCTGCAGGGGTGGCTGCTCCACGGGCGGCTGCTGCAGGGGTGGCTGCTCCAGGGGCGGCTGCTGCAGGGGTGGCTGCTCCAGGGGCGGCTGCTGCAGTGGCGGCTGCTCCAGGGGCGGCTGCTGCAGTGGCGGCTGCTCCAGGGGCGGCTGCTGCAGGGGTGGCTGCTCCAGGGGCGGCTGCTGCAGGGGTGGCTGCTCCAGGGGCGGCTGCTGCAGTGGCGGCTGCTCCAGGGGCGGCTGCTGCAGTGGCGGCTGCTCCAGGGGCGGCTCGGCTGCGGGGCGACTCGGCTGCTGGGCGGCTCGGCTGCTGGGCAGCTCGGCGGCTCGGCTGCTCGCTAGGGGCGGCGACGGGGCCGGGTAGGGGCGGCGACGGGGCCGCTAGGGGCGGCGACTGGGCCGCGTAGGGAGGGGAGCGGCGACGGGGCCGCTAGGGGCGGCGACAGGGCCGAGTAGGGGCGGCGACGAGGCCGCGTAGGGGCGGCGACGGGGCCGCGTAGGGAGGGAGGCGGCGACGGGGCCGCTAGGGGCGGCGACGGGGCCGCGTAGGGGCGGCGACAGGGCCGCGTAGGGAGGGAGGAGGCGACGGGGCCGCTAGGGGCGGCGACGGGGCCGCGTAGGGGCGGCGACGGGGCCGCTAGGGGCGGCGACGGGGCCACGTAGGGGCGGCAACGGGGCCGCGTAGGGAGAGAGGCGGCGACGGGGCCGCTAGGGGCGGCGACGGGACCGCTAGGGGCGGCGACGGGGCCGCGTAGGGGCGGCGACGGGGCCGCGTAGGGAGGGGAGCGGCGACGGGGCCGCTAGGGGCGGCGACGGGGCCGCGTAGGGGCGGCGACGGGGCCGCGTAGGGAGGGAGGCGGCGACGGGGCCGCTAGGGGCGGCGACGGGGCCGCGTAGGGGCGGCGACGGGGCCGCTAGGGGCGGCGACGGGGCCGCGTAGGGGCGGCGACGGGGCCGCGTAGGGAGAGAGGCGGCGACGGGGCCGCTAGGGGCGGCGACGGGGCCGCTAGCGGCGGCGACAGGGCCGCATAGGGGCAGCGACGGGGCCGCGTAGGGAGGGGAGCGGCGACGGGGCGGCTAGGGGCGGCGACGGGGCAGCGTAGGGGCGACGACGGGGCCGCGTAGGGGGCGGCGACGGGGCCGCGTAGGGAGGGGAGCGGCGACGGGGCCGCTAGGGGCGGCGACGGGGCCGCTAAGGGTGGCGCGAGGGGCCGTGAGAGGGGCCTCTAAGAGAGCTCGACAGAAGGGCGGCCCACAAGGCGCGCCTCGGGCAGGAGCGACTGGCGCTCCGGTCAGAAAAAAAAGTTTCAGTGGTGGGCCCAAGGAAGCGTTCCCACTAGGGAACCTGCTCTATACCATGTGAAGAAAATGAGGAATGAATGAACTAGCACAAGGTTGGGTACAAGTAGGAAACCCTAGGAAACTGTACCCCATAGTGTCTACCCCACTATAGCCTAGACAAGCTATATGATATGAGTTTGACACGTTTATGATTGTACACGAGATATAATGAACGGTCACAAAAAGAGTCAGCAGGAGAGTTTGGTAGGAGTGCAGATTGAAGACAGTGATTTTGACGGGGCACATCAAGCCAGATTTTGCGCATTTGGCGAAGTCCTGAAGTCTAGTTAAACAACAGCATTATGTTTCTTTTGTGTGTGCGTAGGCTTTGATAAAAATTGTGAGATTGTGCGAACTTGCGTACCTGTAATCAATCATTTGTGAATCCTTTGAGTGAAGTTTTTCTGTCAACGTATTGACGCGAAAGGAATTTTCTGCACATGATCAGTTCGTCGTCACAACGATGCCCAAGGGGTTTTGGGAGTGCTCTAGTGCACAATGTTGCCTTTACACTTAGTGCGTCCCTCTACAAAACGCGGACCCTTTGTTAGGGGCTGGTTTTGACAAGCACCCGAGGACCCTTGGAGGTGACCTTGTCTGGACTAACTAGTGTTAAAAGGGCGTGCATAGAGCTTCTAGATCTTATTAGTAGTCAACAGTTGGGAGAAATCAAACTAGGCTGGCAAGGGTGGTCAATTTGTGTGAGATGGATTTGAAATATTGGGAAAATGATAATGGAGAAAGGTGGGTTTTTACAGAAAATGAATTTGTGAGCTTATAGGTCCTTGGTTAGGAACTCTTTGGGAACCTTCTCTCTCGTCGAACTCATCTTCTCCTACCTAGTTTCTGACTACTCAAATTCATTGTGTAGTTCTGGATTGAGTATTGAAATGGAGTTCTGTTTCAGCTACAGCTTACCCCCTAGTGCGTCAAATTCATAACTCGATAACATACTCGATTTTGATGAATTTTTTCAGGTGCTTCTTGTCGACGCCGTTTCTTGTGAACACGACCATTTTGTCGAGAAACCTAGTTGACAATTTTGAGTTATTTTGGCCTTCTAATCTTTATGAACTTCATCCTTACTCTTAACAACGACATGCAGCCTCTTCGATCACGCCGCTCTACCCCGTTGGGGTGGTGAGTGACTGTGAGAATATGGATGGGGGTAGAGCAAAGGCCGAGTCGAGTAATACTCGACTCGTTTTCGGCCGATCCGTTTTGGAAGCGAGTCGAGTTGAGTATTACTCAACCGAGTAATTTTACCTCTAGGCCCGACTCGTTACTCTTTATAAAAAAATAAGTATTTTATTACTCGGGCCGAATAATGAAGTGTGCATTTTGGAGCAAGTATTACTCGACTCGTTTTGCCCTAAAAAGGTGTGAAAACCGAGTAATGAGTTACTCGATCTAAAATACGCGTAAACTTTAAGTAATCATTTAATCGCGAGTATTACTCGACTCGACTCGTGCAAGTAATCTTCTTGAAAAGGACGACTCGTTACTCGCGCAAAACGAGTAACAAAAACGAGTCGAGTAAATCCTTTGACGCGTTGCTCATGTCTTGATGGGGGAGGGGGGTGAATGGGGGACGGGGTAAATGGGGGACGGGGTGAATGGGGGAGACGGGTGAATGGGGGAGACGGGTGAATAGGGGAGAGGGGTGAATGAGGGAGAGGGATGAATGGGCGAGGAGTGGTGAATGGGAGATGAGTGAATGGGGGAGGGGTGAACAGGGGAGCACGATGAATGCGGGAGGGGGATGAATGGGAAAGGGGGGTGAATGGGGGAGGGGGGTGAATGAATGAGGGAGGGGTATGAATGGAGGAGCGGGGTGAATGGGGGGGGGAGGGAGAATGGGGGAGGAAGGGAGGGGAGGGGGGGAGGGGGTGGGGGGGGGGGGGGGAAGGAAAGAAGGCAACGAGCGAGCTGCACGACAGTGCCTTTCAGCACCACCCTCTAGGACATACTTGGTACCCTGCTCCACCCTCAGCAGGCTAGCAGCATTGATGACAGACATGTGCGATGAGTACGACACTCCTCGTTGCCTAAGTTTTTTCCCTTTCTCCCCACCTCACCTCTTTCCCCTCCAATTCACAACTTCCCTGATATCCGCCATCCCACCTCAGCGTTCCCGCTTGCCCTCTCCCCTCCCACCTCACCCTCCCGCCTCGCCAGCTCACCTCGCTTCTCCCAGGGGCGGAAGAGCAGCACGAGCACGAGCGAGATGACGAGGGTGGCGCAGCCCACAGCGATGCCCACGATGGCGCTCACGCTCAGCCCTGATGATGCCGGCTGCCCCGGGGGGGAAGGGGCTGTAAGTGGGTGTGATGTGGTGTGGTGTGGTGTGGTGTGGTGTGGTGTGGTGTGGTGTGTGGAGGGACGGGATTAATGAGTCGACTCAAAAGACATCACGATGGCGCCCGTGCTCAGCCCCGACGATGATGAGGGCTGCACGGGGGGCGTGTAGGCTGTAAGGTGATGCATTGGGGAGGGGTGAAGGGTTTGCGGAGGAGAATTTCAAGTCCTGACTTCTAAGTCAATGTAAAAGTCATTTTGATAGCACCTATGCTCAGCCCTGATGTGGCTGCTCGGGGGAGGCGTAGGCCATATGGTGCTGTATGAATGGGTGGAAGGGTGGAGAGGAGAAACATTGGTGAAGGACAAAGGGAGAAAGCAGGGAGGTTATAGTTCGTGTGGAAGCAGGGTGGAACGCGGTTGAGAAGAGGCGACAAGTATGAAGTGTGGTGGCGCAAGTGATTGTTCTTTTTCAGTTTTGAGAAGGCTCAATGGTTGGAAGTGAAGCAGGCCCAAAGAGGCCTGGGGGGTTGCTGGTGTCGTATTCAGAGACTCGTTCCCCCCTCATCCCTTCTTTTACCCATCCCCCTGCTTCCCCCCTTCCTCCCTTGTTCTCCCCTCAATCCATTCTTCACCCCCTCCACCCCACCCCCCCCCCCCTTCCCTCAACCTCCCCACCGCCCCCCCCCCCCCCCCTTCCCTCAACCTCCCCACGCCCCCCCCCCCCAGACTCACGAGCGGGGCCGTAGAAGGCCTCAACGCGGTACGACCCGAACTCGTCCAGGTTGGCGCGCAGCGACGGGTCGCGCGTGGAGAGAGCCGTGCGAATGGCGCTCGGCGTGTCGCTTGGCAGCCAGGAGTCATCGCCGGCGGGGGGGAAGAAGAGTGCGGTGATGATGAGCGTGGACTCGTGCGTCGTGTGGTCCGACGTGAATGTTGATGCCAGCGAGGCGAGTGATGCACGGCTGCTGATGCCTGTCACCTGCACCTGTGGGGTGGGTAAGTGAATGCGGGGTGGGTAAGCGAATGCGGGGTGGGTAAGTGAATGCGGGGTGGGTAAGTGAATGCGGGGTGGGTAAGTGAATGCAGGTGGGTAAGTGAATGCGGGATGGGAGGGTGGAAGATGGTTGGGGTGGGTGTGTGAAGGCGTGTTGGGTATGTGAACGCGGGGTAGGTAAGTGAATGCAAGGTGGGGTATGTGACTGCGGGGTGGGCGTCCTCACGATCTACCCACTGCACAAACATGCCCTTCGAACCCAGTCGGTAGACCATCTAGGCCAACAAATGGTTGGTCAGGCAACGAGCATGATGTAAGGATATGCCAAAAGGACTTGTCGAAACCAACAAAGCTGTGGCCTTGTGTGATGTTCTCCCTGCCCGTGAGGTAAGGCACCTTAGCTCTGTTGGTCGTCTGTAAGGTACAGCCCCATGTGATGTGCGCCCTGCCCGTGAGTAGCGCACCTGATTGCGAGTGATGTTGATGTGCGCCCTGCCCGACAGCTCCGAGACGAGCTTCTCCTCGAGGCGCCGGACGAGCTCAGTGGAGAAGACGACGAGGTCCGTGAGGTACAGCCCCAGGTCAGTGCGCAGCGGCGACACGCACGTGCACTCGCGCGTGCTGCGGAAGAGCGGCTGGCTGGCGCGGTAGAGGTCGCTGGCGCACGCGAGCACGGCGCACAAGGGTGGCGCGATGTACTGCCTCAGTGCCCGCGGTGGGGAGCACTGCTGATAGATTTCTGCTCGGAAGGGCTTGCACAACTCGCTGCCGTACAGCCTGGGGGAGAGGGAGGGGGTGGGGTGGGGGGGAAGGAAGGGCATGGAAGAGGAGAGGAGAAGAGAAGAGGAAGAGAGCATGTGGGGTGTGAAGCGGATGGTGATGGTGATGCATTAATATTGCTCTTCTGCATTTGTTGGCACTCTGCCCATGCACTCACTGCAGCGTGATGCTGGTTTGGTTGAGCAGGCGAGGCGGCACGGCAGTGAAGTCGTTGTCGTAGAGGGAGAGTGCCACGAGGTTTGGCAGCCCTGACATGTCCGGAATGGTGCCCGTCATCTTGTTGTCTGCTAGAAACCTGCCATGCGGGGAGAGGTGGAGAGGGGTGAGCAGGTGGGCAGAGGTGGGCAGAGGTGGGCAGAGGTGGGCAGGGGTGGGCAGAGGTGGGCAGGGGTGGAAAGGTGGGATCTTGGGACATGTGAGGTGGCTGTCCGCCAAGAACCTGCTGCGTGGTGAGGCACAGATGGGCGCACAGGTGGGCACAGATGGGCGCACAGGTGGGCACAGATGGGCGCACAGGTGGGCACAGATAAGGGAGTCAGAGGAGCAAAGGAATGAGGAGAAAGGGAGGGTGATGGGGTAAGGGAGTGTCAGGGGTACGGGAGTGTGGGGAGTAAGGGAGTGTGAAGGGTAAGGGAGCGTGAGGAGCAAGGGAGTGTGAGGAGCAAGGAAGTGTGAGGAGCAAGGGAGTGAGAGGAGCAAGGGAGTGTGAGGAGCAAGGGAGTGTGAGGAGCAAGGGAGTGTGAGGAGCAAGGGAGTGTGAGGAGCAAGGGAGTGTGAGGAGCAAGGGAGTGTGAGGAGCAAGGGAGTGTGCGGCGTAAGGGTTGATGCCACGATAAGTCTGAACTGAGATTGGTGGCTCACAGGGGTTGGTGGCTCACAGGGATTGGTGACTCACAGGGATTGGTGGCTCACAGGGATTGGTGACTCATAGGGATTGGTGACTCACAGGGATTGGTGGCTCACAGGGATTGGTGACTCACAGGGATTGCAGCTGGGAGGCAGTGGTGATCTCCTGGGGAAGGAAGAAGCTGAGCTCGTTATTGGCCAGGTTGCTGTAGCGAGAGGGGGAGGAGAGGGCAGAGGGAAGGAGCGGCAGCACGGCCGTCCAACCGACACCAGACGCACCTGATGAGGCCACGACACCAGACGCACCTGATGAGGCCACGACACCAGACGCACCTGATGAGGCCACGACACCAGACGCACCTGATGAGGCCACGACACCAGACGCACCTGATGAGGCCACGATACCAGACGCGCCTGATGAGGCCACGACAGCGGTGGCTGCAGCGTGGAAACACTCGCAGCAGCACTTGGATAGGGGAAATACTTTCCAATGCAGAATGGAGGTGGTTTTCTTTTTCTTATAAATTTTATATATATTGTAAAATGCGGTATCGCTCCTGTGAGAAATTGCAGAGCAGTTTAAGAAAAAAACAGCTGCAATTTTTTACCTTGCAAAGTGATACCAAATGGTGCAAAGTGTGCATGGGGATGCGAGAGGGTGAGATGCTTATAGGTTGATGAGGTTGGGGTTTTGCTGGAAGAGAGTTGCGGGAATGCCACCAATGAAGTTGTTGCTCAGGTTGCTTAAGGTGGGGGTTTGGGGGGGGTGATGGGGGGTTAAAGGGGGAGGGGGGAGGAGGTGGGATTGAGGTGGGCAGGAGTGTGGGTGGAAGGTGGGAGTTTAATTGAAGTGTGGGAGAATAACTGAGAGTATGCTTGCTAGGGTGGGAAAGGAAGCTAGTTCGAAAGATGGATGAAAGGAGTTGGATGAGAGGAGTTGTGCTCACAGGTTGGCAAGGTCGGTAGAGAGCGGGAAGGATGGCAGCTCCTGGGGTGGTAGCGAACAGTCACTGACGACACTGGTGCACGGGGAGAGAGGGACATGTAGAGGGACACACACACATACACACACACACAGACACACACACACACGCACGCACGCATGCACGCATGCACAAACACACACACACACACACACACACACACACACACACACACACACACACACACACGCGCGCGCGTGCGCGCACGCACACACACGCAAACACACAGGCACGCACAGAAACACAGACACAGACGCGTGCACACATGCGGGCGCACACACACAAACAGACACACATACACATGGACACATGCGCGGATGCACATGTATGGACAAAAAATGCAAATGTTAGGTGTCTCCACTCATGTTTGCCCTCACCTCTCTTGTTTGCCCTCACCTCTCATGTTTGCCCTCACCTCTCATGTTTGCCCTCACCTCTCATACTTGCCCTCACCTCTCATGCTTGCCCTCACCTCTCATGCTTGCCCTCACCTCTCATGCTTGCCCTCACCTCTCATACTTGCCCTCACCTCTCATGCATAACCCCTAAGTCCGTGAGCGAGGGGCAGCACTCACAAGTCCCTGAGCTTGGGAAGGAACCACGTGGTGGGCAGGCTGGGCAGCACGTTGTTGCTCCAGTAGCTGTGGGAGAGGGGGGCCCGAAGGGAGAGGGGTGCCGCAGGGTGCAAGCGGTGTGGGGGGGGGGAGCGCACATGAGCATACGTAGAGAGAGGCATGGTTTGGTTTCGGCCTCAGCAAGAACTGCATAGCTGGAATGGGTATCGAGTGCAAGGGGCAATGAGTGCAAGGGGCAATGAGTGCAAGGAGTAGTGAGTGCAAGGGGTAGTGAGTGCAAGGGGTAGTGAGTGCAAGGGGTAGTGAGTGCAAGGGGTAGTGAATGCAAGGGGTAGTGAGTGCAAGGGGTAGTGAGTGCAAGGGGTAGTGAGTGCAAGGGGTAGTGAGTGCAAGGGGTAGTGAGTGCAAGGGGTAGTGAGTGCAAGGGGTAGTGAGTGCAAGGGGTAGTGAGTGCAAGGGATAGTGAGTGCAAGCAAGGGGCAGTGAGTGCGATGCATACCTGCATGAGTGGCATGACAGTGAGGTTGGTGGCACGCACATGACAGTGAGGTTGGTGGCACGCACATGACAGTGAGGTTGGTGGCCCGAACATGACAGTGAGGTTGGTGGCACGCACATGACAGTGAGGTTGGTGGCACGCACATGATAGTGAGGTTGGTGTTGTTGAAGGTTGTTGGGATGGGATGCTGCAGCTGGTTGCCATCCACCGGCCTGAGATGCGGTGGGGGGGGGGGGGGAGGATTGGGGGGAGGAGAAAGTGGGAAAGAAAGATTAGGATGGGTGTGCCGGTTGCCGTCCACCAGCCTGGGATGCATGGCGAGGTGAAGGGAGGGTGGGGTCACAAATGGGGTCACAGATGGGGTCACAGATGGGGGGAGAGGACAGGGTTCAGATGAAAGGGATCGGAGCTGGTTGCTGTCCACCAGCTTGCCCCGGAATGCATGGAAAGGTGGGATGGTGGGAGGGATGGGTGAGAGATGTGGGGAGGCTACTATTTGGATGAAAGGGATTGGACGTTGCGTGAAACACGTGAGGTGACGGTCTGAGCTGTGAGAGGTGTGCCAATGCGTTGTAGGCACGCATAAAACCATCAATGCTCGGAACGCAATGTGCTGCATGGTGGCACTCACACGTGCTCTAGCTTGGGCAGCCAGCCGATGTGATCCGGCACTGAGCTGAGCAGGTTGCGACTCAAGTGGCTGAGGGGCGAGAGAGTGGGGAAGGGGAAGAAAGTAGTGAGGAATGAAGGGGACAGACATCAAGGGACAAGCATCAAGGGACAAGCGTCAAGGGACAAGCGTCAGGCGTCAAGGGACAAGCGTCAAGGGACAAGCATCAGGAGACAGGCATAAAGGGACGAGAGTCAAGAGACAGGCAAGCGCGCAAAAGAGAACCTACTTGTGCTGGTTACAAGGTCTCATCTCATTAATGGGAGAGGAAAGGTGGATCACACTCAGACGTGCACCCCATTCATTTGCACATCCGGCCACACACCTATACCACACCCATGCCACACCTATACCACACCCATGCCACACCTATACCACACCCATGCCACACCTATACCACACCCAAGCCACACCTATACCACACCCATGCCTCACCTATACCACACCCATGCCACACCTATACCACACCCATGCCACACCTATACCACACCCCTGCCACATTCATACCACACCCATACCACACCTACACCACACCTACACCACACCCATACAAAAGCCTTTCCACAGCCTTACCACACCCACACCCACACCCACACCCACCCCACACCCACAAGCCCACCCCCACGCCACGCACAGGGCCCAACCCCTTCAATGTGGTTGTCCATGATGTCCCACATGTACAGATGCAGCCCCACCCCACCCCCACCCCCACCCCCACCCCAACCCCAACCCCCACCCCCACCCCCACCCCACGCACAGGTGCACGAGCTCGCTGGCACCCCCAAAGGATGGAACAGTGCAGCAAATAAGGTTGTCCATGACGTCCCACATGTACAGCTGCTGCAGCGCGCTCACTGTGCTTGGGATGGATCCCAAGAGGCGGTTCTGGTTGACCAGAATTTACTTGAGGCTCGAAAGGCACCCCACTGTGGCTGGGATGAGGCTAGTTAGGTTGCACCCGTGCATGTCCCTGAGGGGGAGGAGCGCAGGGAAAGGGCGCACGGGGAGGGGACACACGAGGAGGGGACACACAGGGAGGGAGGGGACACACGGGGAGGGGACACACGGGGAGGGGACACACGGGGAGGGGACACACAGGGAGGGGACACACGGGGAGGGGACACATGGGGAGGGGACATGCAAGGAGGGGGGGGCACAGCATGTATGGATTTGGAGTGCGTCAGACTGCACCTCGTGCATGCACATCGCTGGGGAGGCAGAGGGGAGGGAAGAAAAGGTGGGGAGGTGGTGACCATGCCACGGATGCGAGCGAATGATTATTGCAGGGGCAGAGCAGGTGACAGCAGGGGTAGAGCAGGTGACAGCAGGGGCAGTGTGGGTGACAGCAGGGTGACAGCAGGGGCAGTGCGGGATGCAGGTGACAGCAATGTGAGCATGGCACTCACAGCAATGTGAGCATGGCACTCACAGCAATGTGAGCATGGCACTCACAGCAATGTGCCCGTCGCATCGCCCTAGGACCCGCGCGACGCCCTGCCCTGCCCGTTCCGTCGCCCTAGGGCCGGCTCGCCGCCCCTGCCCTACCCGTCGCGTCACCCTAGGGCCCGCGCGCCACCCCTGCCTCCCCATCGCGTCGCCCTAGGACCCGCGCGACGCCCTGCTTTGCCCGTCGCATCGCCCTAGGGCCCGCGCGCCACCCCTGCCCTGCCCGTCGCGTCACCCTAGGGCCCGCGCGCGGCCCCTGCCTGCCCGCGCGCCGCCTTCTACAGCCCGCGCGCCGCCCTGCTGCTAGCGCTCAGCCCTGCCCCTGCCCGTCGCGTCCGCCCTGGCAGCCCACGCGCCACCCTCCGCAGCCCGCACGCTGCCCTTGCCTGCCCGCGCGCCCTCCTCTGCCCGCGCGCTGCCCTACTTGCTGCGCTCCGCCCTGCTCTGGCCGCGCGCCGCTCTTCCCTAACCGTGCGCCGCTCCGACCTACCCCAGTGCCTGCTCGCCGCCCTGCCTTCCCTGCGTGCCGCCGTGCTGGTCGCATGCCTCCTTGCTTTGTCCGCTATGACTTCTCTTTGTGGTAGCGGTGGGAGTGGTGGCGGCGGTGGTGGCAGCAGTGGGAGTGGTGGTGGCGGCCGTAGTGGCAATTTCGGTGGAGCTGTTCGGTGGGGAGTTTTTGGCGGTGGCCAGATGCAGCTCCAGCGGCGTCCGGGAGAGACCCTTATGCCCCAGCAGCTTCGTGAGTGGGAGTGGTGGCGGCGGGCGTAGTGGTAGTCGCCATGGAGCTGTTCAGTGGGGAGTTTCTAGCGGTGGCCAAATGCAGCTGCAGGGGCGTCCGCGCGAGACCCTTACGCCCCAGCAGCTTCGTGAGTGGTACGCTCAGCGTGAGGCGTCTCGAGGTAATGCTCGCTGCCCGTACGTCATTCGCACAGGTGATCGAGCTGGTCAGACTTGCAGGACAGCTAGTCACACACAGTCCCACTGCTTCTCCTGACTGAGCGACGCCTGGCACGCAGAGTTTGGCGACGCGGCTGAGCTCCTGCGCTGGCTAGAGCTGCTTAGGCAGGGTGTTGATATCTTTGCTCTTGACTATGATGCTATCCTTGATGCCATGTATGCATTGACTATTTGTGCTGAGGGTGACTGTTACCTGTGTGTGCCGCCCGACCTAAGTAAAGAGGCTGCTGCCCTAGGTGCTAGTGAGTCTTCTCTCCCCGGTACTGCACCTGCTGAGGCCTTGCACACCTCCACGCTTGACTCAGGTGCTTCCTGCTGTTTCTTTCGCGACAGTACCACAGTCACACCACTCCCTGCACCTGTTTGCTGTTAGACTGGCTGACCCCTCAGGGGGCCCAATTCTTGCCCGTTCCTCCACTGTTCTTCCGTGTTCGGCGGTTCCGTACGGCTCACTCTCAGGTCTTCACCTCCCCTTGTTCTCTACGAACTTGGTGAGTACCGTTGCCTTCCAGGATACGATGGTCACTACCACCACTTCTGGGGGTCAGCGTGTATCGATCTGTACGTGTACACGGACGGGCCGTCACCTGGCCACGTTCACCCATCGACCTGGATCGAGTCTGTACACACTGACTACTGAACCTCCTCAGGTAGCTGCTTCTGTGTCCGCGTCGGGTCAGCTTGCGGCCCCCTGCTCGTGTCGCGCCCTGTCGCACCAGACTCTCCTTTAGCACCACTTCCTTGGTCCCCCCTCCCTGCCACGCCTCCGTGGCATGCACTCCCATCTTCCCAGGTCTCTACCTCCCCTACCACCCTCGCCTGCCCCTCCCTGCCTTCCCTGTGTTGAGGGGCGGCAGCACGCTGCTCCTCACTCCTCGTTTCCCCCGACGACTGCTCCCCTGCAGACTCTCCACATGGACGTGTGGGGCCCAGCCTGCGTCCGTGGACAGGGCCGCGAGCGATACTTTCTGCTGGTCGTTGACGACTACTCGCGTTACACCACGGTCTTCCCCTTGCGTAGCAAGGGGGAGGTCCCTAATGTTTCTATCCCTTGGATCCGCGCTGTCGGTCTCCAGCTCAGCGAGCGGTTCGACACGGAACTTCCGGCCCTGCGTCTGCACTCTGATAGAGGTGGTGAGTTTGCCTCCGACCTCTTGCGGGAATTTTGTCGTGGGGAGGGCATCTCCCAGTCGTTCACACTTCCGGCCTCTTCGAAGTAGAATGAGGTTGCTGAGCGCCTCATTGGCCTAGTCATAGAGGTCGCTCGTACCTCCATGATCCATGCGGCTACTCCCCATTTTCTGTGGCTGTTTGTGGTCCGGTACGTTGCGCATCAGCTCAACCTCTAGCCCCGTGTCTCCTTGCCGGAGACCTCGCCGACACTGCGTTAGACGGGAGAGGTTGGCAATGCGTCGGTGTTCCAGGTGTGGGGATCTCATGCCTTTGTTTGCGATAACATCGCGGACAAGCTCTCCTCCCACGCCATTCCATGTGTCTTCCTTAGCTTTCCCCTTGACGCACCTGGCTGGCAGTTTTACCACCCCACCTCGCGCCATGTCCTGCCATCTCAGAACGTCACGTTTGACGAGTCGGTTCCCTTTTACCGTCTCTTCCCCTACCGCACTGCCCCTCTCCCTCCCTTGCCGCTTTTCCTCGCACCAGGTCCCCCTCCGGTAGACCCCCTCCCCCCTCAGGGTCCTGCTCCCTCAGGTGTGTCTCAGGTAGACCCACTCCTCTAAGGTGAGCCTGTCGAGGTAGCTGTCGACTCGGGTTCTGCTTGGGGGGGTGCTGCTAGAGGTGCTGCGTCTGGGGGTGCTGAGCCTGAGCGTGCGGAGCCTGGGGGTGCTGAGTCTGGGGTTGCTGAGTCTGAGGGTGCGGAGTTTGGGGGTGCTAATTCTGAGCGTGCGGAGCCTGGGGGTGTTGAGCCTGCGAGTGCGGAGACTGGGGGTGCTGAGTCTGAGCGTGCGGAGCCTGGGGGTGCTGAGCCTGCGGGTGCAGAGCTTGGGGGTGCTGAGTCTGGGGGTGCTGTGTTAGAATGAGAAGGATGAATTCAACTATCGAGAGAGATTGACAAGTAGGAAAACCCTAAGGGGTTATACCCCACAGAATCTACCCCACTACAGCCTACCAATAACTGCAACATATAACATATATATGTTTGACACACCCCCATAGGCAAAGTGGGGGAGAGCAAGAGGTCACAAGACCAGTCAAGAAAGGCAAAGCAAGCTCAGGGTGGATCACAACGTCACCACACACTCTGAGCACAAGCAAAGGGCCACAAGGCCAGTCCACATGCAGAGGTATATATGCAGCAAGAATAGTACAGTGATCTCTACCTAGCAATGCAAACATGCAGGTATATATATATAGATCACAGTACAAGCAAAGCCTACAGCAAGTGAGGAAAAGTGGGCACAAGCCCTAGCATAGTGCAGAAACGCTGATGATCACCAGCCTGAAGTGCCTTGGTAAATATATCAGCACTGTTGGCCCGAGTGGCCGCGTAACGCAGACGAAGCTGACCACGCTGCTGCAACTCTCGAGCTAGGAAGTAACGCAGAGCGATGTGCTTCGTTCTATGCTCCAGTCTGTGCTCCTCACACAAGGCAATGGTAGCCTTGTTGTCGACGTACAGCACTGGAGGGGAACGAGGCCGCTCTCCCAAGTCGGTCAGCAGGTAGGTGAGCCAGCGTAACTCCTGTGCAGCCATGGCTGTGGCGTAGATCTCAGCCTCACAACTGGAGCTGAGAACTGAGGACGAGCGTGTAGAACGCAAAGAAACTGAACCAGAGCCAAGGCTGAAGGTTTAACCCTGTGACGACCGCTGAGTAGCCTGGTCGTCAACCCAAGAAGCGTCTGAGTGCCCAGTGAGGACAACTGGGCTCTTCCCTCCAAGCACTAGCCCCATGCCTGATGTGCTGCACAAGTAGCGCAGTACCCTCTTAGCGGCAGCCATGTGCTCAGGTCGGTGCCGACCAGGAGCCACGTAGCGAGCCAGCAGACCAAGAGGGTACGCGAGGTCAGGACGAGTGCAAGTCATCAGGTACATGAGGCAGCCAACTAGCTCTGGGTAAGGACCACTCGGCTCTACGGACTCGTCCGAAGGTGGAGCTGAGAGCGAGTGACCTGTAGCCAGAGAAGTGGCCTGTGCCGAGGACCAGGTCAAGCCGAAGCGCTGAAGGACCTGCTGCACCATGTGTGACTGAGTCAGTGTGATGGTGCGGCGTGCTCTGTCCCGGGTGATCTGCAAGCCAAGGTAGCTGCGTAGTTCACCCAGGTCTGTGCACGTGTGTCTCTTCTGCAGCTCCGACTTCACGTGGGCGAGAGCCTCAGTGTCAGCAGTGGCAAAGACCAAGTCGTCAACGTACACGAGGATGTAGAACGGCGGCAGCGAGGTGTCGGTGCGCAGAAACAGCGACGGGTCAGCAGTAGAAGGCGCGAACCCAAGAGCCGCAAGTGTAGTCCTTAGTGTGTCGTGCCACTCACGTGGCGCCTGGCAGAGACCGTAGACCGGCCACCGGAGTCTCCACTGGGTACCAGGAGGGAACGACCCAGTGAAGCCAGGAGGGCGGCGTAGCCAGATCTCCTCGTGCAAGCTGCCCTGCAAGAAAGCTGTGCTGAAGTCAAAAGAGTGAAGCTCGTAGTCACGCTGAGCGGCAACGTGCAGCAGCACCCGAAGAGTGGTCATCTTCGGGGTGGGAGAGAAGGTCTGGAAGAAGTCTACTCCCTCTAGCTGACTGAAGCCACGAGCAACGT